TTAGCTTCTTCCTCTTCCTTTCCTACTTCCCCTTCTCTCTTCTGGTTGTTTTTTGCTTTTGCTTGGGCAGTTTTTTAAACAACCACCTGCACACAAAACATTGTCTCAGCTCTGCTTCTGGGAAGCCACTTCCAAGAGCAAATGGAAACAGTCTATTGATAGCAAGAGACTGAAGGTCTCCGAGGGAAAAGTCAGTTTTATTTCAGCCCACTGAGTGCCCTCCCTGTGCTGTTCTGGGCTTTGATGGGGACAGTGGAGGGGAAGGCCTTGGGCGGCCCCCACACCCCAGGAGCTTTGAGTCTGGGGGATGGAGGAGGAGGAGGAGACTCTGGGCCCCGCCCTCCCGCAGTCTGCAGGAGACCACAAGAGGTGCGGGGCGGGTTGGGGTGGGGGACAGTTCTCTGAATGTGTGTTTATTGTGGCCCTTCTATGTCCTGTGGTGTCCCCAGGGAATGGAGGACTGAGGGTTGCAGAGCAGGGAGGGGTGGCAGCCTTGCTCTTCCCCGGCTGATGTGCCAGGCTCTGAAATATTCAGTGATCAGATTTTAACCTCAAATAACAGCGCCCCAACCGCCCCTGAATCCTGCTATGGAAAGAACCTTTGGTAAGTGTTTTGAAGCAGGAAGACTCCCTCTGCCCACAGAGCAGTGTACAGCGGTTTGGGGGAGGGGCTAGCTCCTGGGGCCCAAGTGGGCCTCAAGAGATGAGGTGGGTTGCAGTGTGATGGGAGGGGAGACACAGAAACTGCCAAGGGCCATGAGGAAGAGGGGAAGCCACAGTCCCCAGACACCCAAGGAGGGTGTCTTCCTGCAGAAAGCCCTATCAGATGGCAGCCTGCGGCCCAGAAGCCCCAGCTCAAGCTGCAAACTGGCTTCTTCTAAGGCCACAGCACCCCAAGGGCCTCAAGACACGTCTAGCCCATTCCCCTACCATTACATGGGTGGAAACCTAGAAGGAGAGAGGGCAAGAGTCGCTCAAGACCACTTAGAGAGTTTGTGAAGCTGGAGTGAGGTTTCAGGTTGTGGAGCTCCAAGCCCAGTGTGGTCTGCCCTGCTTTGCACTGCCCCACGTTTTTCCTAAGACCAAGGTAGAATTCTTCCTCCTGTTTTCCACCTCGACAGTAAAAGTGCCTCTCTTCTCTGCCATGGGACTGGGAGACATGTTCAGGATGTGAAGTCATACAGGGACATCTTTGAGTTCATAAACATCTCCTGTTCATAAATATCCGACTAAAGACTGAAGCTTCCACTGCTCCAAAAATAGCTTTGGATCCCAGCACAGGCATTTCCAAGAACAGATTTTTATCCTTTCAAGAATTCCGTGAAAGAGCCGGGTGAAATGTGTGCCTCTAGGCACAGCTACTTGGGAGGATGAGGCAGGAGGATCACTTGAGCCCAGGATTTGAGGCCAGCTGGACAACACAGTTTGATCCTCAACCCAAATAAAGAAAGAAAGAAACAGTAAATATAAAAATAATCAATCCAAGAATTCTGTGAAAGCAAGGAATCCTCTGGTTTGTATGCCTACCAGAGTTTCCTGAACCTGGTCACACACACTGCCCTGACCCTGTGATCTCAGACTGTGGATATAGATTGGTCTAAACTCCAGATAAGGAAGTATCTAGTATGGTCCATTATAATCCTGGTCATTCTCATTTCAATTCATTTTAATACAATATTAGGCTACTCTGAACATGTAATTCCCCAATCCTTCTATTTAAAAGGGACTTCTTGCTTGTAGTGAGCCTTGGGATTGACTGCTCCATAGCCATATCAGGGCTAGATGATTGTTCTGAACCAATCAATTTCAACCCCTTCACCAGTGACTGGTTCAGAGATAAATAGTCCTATGCCAATAGGTGTCGAGAGCCAAGGGAGAGGCTGTGGCTTCAAAAAAGAGAAACCTGTCTTTCTAACCCACTAGTCTGTTAACATTACGTTTGTGACTGGGCACAGTGGCTTACACCTGTAATTTTCAGCACTTTGGGAGGCTGAGGTGGAAGGATCACTTGAGATCAAGAGTTTGAGACTAGCCTGGCCAACATGGTGAAACCCCGTCTCTACTAAAAATACAAAAACTAGCCAGGTGTGGTGGCATGCACCTGTAATCCAAGCGACTCGGGAGGCTGAGGCAGGAGAATAACTTGAACCCAGGAGGTGAAGGTGAGCCAAAATTGTGCCACCGCACTTCAGCCTGGGTAACAAGAGTAAGACTCCATCTGAAAAGAAAAAAAAACAAAAAACACAATAGGTATGTTTCCTTGGTGGCTCCGGAAGCCCTCCAGTGACACCAAGGCACCAAGGGACCCAGTCCTTGGGCTGGAAGCCCTATTAAGGGTGGCAGAGGGGAGAGATGAAAGAACTTGTGACTGCTGATGTCATTGAGTCGCTGAATCAACAGCTGGGAAGCCAGCCTTTCTTCCTGCTTTGTGAGATGATATACTTAATACTTTCCATCCTTGGAGGTGGGTATCTTGTTATTTGCCGATGGAAATATTATACATCATCTCCAGCCCCTACTCCCCTGCCTCACCCAGCCCTACCTTAACCAGGGCAAGTCCTGCCACAGAGGAGCTGGCTGCCTCAGAATATCTCTTGTGGAAAACAGTCCTGCCTGAACTGGGGTGGGACTGCCAAGCATTTTGCACCCCGCCCCCCTTACTTGTTTTTTGGGGTTTTTATGGTTTTTTGTTTGTTTGTTTGTTTGAGACAGGGTCTCACTCTGTTGCCCAGACTGGAGTGCAGTGGTGTGATCATGGCTCATGGCTGCCTCAACCTCCTGGGCTCAAGCAATCCTCTGGTCTCAGTCTCCCTCCAGAGTAGCTGGGACCACAGGTGTGCGCCACCATGCCCAATTAATTAAAAAAAATGTAGAGATGAGGTCTCACTATGTTGCCCAAGCTGGTCTTAAACTCCTGGGCTCAAATACTCCTCCTACCTTGGCATCCCAAAGTGCTGGGATTACAGGCATGAGCCATCTTGCTAGGCCAGGTTCCCCCTTGAATGTAGGAGTATTGCCTCTTCCAGGCAGGAGTTCCTCTTATTCAGTGAGACAAGCACAGACCCAGATAATTACATGAGCTGCCACTGGAAGAGCTGTTGTTAATTTGGATGGCAATAAAAGGCCTTGCCAGTACGTTAAGCTAATTTCATGAAAATGCTGGGGGGAGGGTCATGGGCTGGATCCCAGATTATTAATAATGTCGAGCTTCATTAGAACCATTCAGAAAATTCCTCTCAGTTGCCTCCAGCAAACTGCCACGGGTTGCTGCTTTCCTCTGAAATCAACAGTCTTCTCATAGGCAAATGTGGATTTTTTTTTCCCCCTAGAAAATAATTAAAAGTCACAAAGTCCAATAAACACTTAAACAGAATATAGTTTTAATTAAAAACCTTTCAGCAAGTCTGCAGTTGCAGATCTCTCTTCGCAAACAGGCATGCTGGTGGCAGCCACAAGCCCAGTCTAAGTATCTGAAACTAGAAACCTTTACAAATCATAATAGTAAATTTGGTTGCTACATATACCCATGGTGTGTGTGTGTGCAAAGGGGGTGGTGGTGGTGAAGAGAGAGGTCTGGGGGCAGAGCCAAGGTCCTCCCCTATGGGGGAGGCAGGACACAAGCCTGAAGGGGTGTGTGCAGCAGAACATTTTATCAAACCTGTGTCCAACTCTGCAAGGCAATAATAATGGCTAATTCAGCTATTGTATTTAAAAAGTGGCCAAGTACTGAGCACTAAGTGCCAGGTACTAAGTGCTTTGCATACATTGATTCATTTAATCCTCAAGGTGACCCAAAAGCATAGGTATTCTTTTGTTGTTGTTGTTGTTGTTGTTGTTTTTAAAGATAGAGTCTCACTCTGTCACCCAGGCTGGAATGCAGTGGCACGATCTCGGCTCACTGCAATCTTTGCCTCCCAGGTTCAAGTGATTCTCCTGCCTCAGCCTCCTGAGTAGCTGGGATTACAGGCACGCACCACCACACCCGGCTAATTTTTGTGATTTTAGTAGAGACGGGGTTTCACCATGTTGGTCAGGCTGGTCTCAAACTCCTGACCTCGTGATCCGCCCGCCTTGGCCTCCCAAAGTGCTGGGATTACAGGCGTGAGCCACCACGCCTGGCCAGTACTCTTATTTATGCCTTTTTTTCTTGAGGCACAGAGAGGTTAAATAACTTGGCTAAGGACACACAGTCAGTACATAATGGAGTCTAACTAGAACCTGCCCTCCTGACGACTACATAGAGCATGTACAAGGAAAGGCCGGAGGGGGAAGTATAAACTGGGCCTGGCTTCCCTGAGGAGTGATCTTTCGACTGGAAATTAGAAAAGGAAAGCAGCTTCTTGGAGGTGAGGGACTGGAGAGAACGTGTGTGTGTGCGCGCGCGCGCGCGCAGAAGCTGAAAGATGGAAAACAGTGAGTGTTCAGGGCCTTCTGGCTGGAGGGCAGCCGTGGGGAAGGTCTCCGCAGCCTTAACCGGCTGCTATGGTGGGGATGTTTGATGCCCATCTGGGCCCCGGCTTTCTTATTCTCAGAGGCCCTTCCCACATCTTTAGGCAAGTCCATTAAATCCTCTGCGTGCCACATTAAAATACAAGGGCAAATATACAACTCTGAGTGCAGTTGCAACAGAATCGTTTACACAATATTGCATGTCCTAAACATTCAAACATCGATTTCTTCCAATTTTGCAGTTTCCTTTTGCCCCTCTTAGCGCCAATAGATTTTTTTTTCAGATATCAGATATTTATTTTAATAGGCCCCTGAGAGAGTCATAAGACTCAGAGAGAAGGGAGAATGGGAGAGGTATATAAGAAGCTTTCGTGCCAGGGACGACTATCGTTCAAGAATTAGGAGACGCCCTGGGCACTGGAAACACTACGCAGAGCGAAGTAGGGACCGCGCCTGTGTTGTGTAGGGAACCAGAGGTTGCTGATACCTGGGACATAGATTGGGTGGGCACGGGAAGTAAAGCCTCGGGACTTTGGTTAAGCGCGCCCCACTGGAGTATCGCGCCGCAGGACTGCAGAGCCGCGGGCAGCGCTCGCCTTGGTGCAGGGTTCCAGCCACATCTTCCTCGCCCAGCCGGCACCCTCCGCCATTGATCCGCCTCTGCGCCCGCCAAGCGGAGTCCAGCAGGGGGCGCGCGCGGAGCAGGCTTGGGCCCCAGGAACAGCGCGCGGAGCAGGCTTGGGCCCCAGGAACAGCGCGCGGACGGAGTCGCTGCAGCAAGTCCCCAGATCCAATGGGTTTCAGTCCTCCCCACCATCCCGACGCTCCGGATTCACAACGTTTAAGTTAAGGGTCGATCCGCAAAAAGTGGCCGGGGGCTCCAGCTCTCCATTCCTGGGTCTATCTGGGGTCGGCCCCAGCCTGGTTAGAAGCCTTAGTCTGGATTCGGCAGATTCTGAATCTGGGACCCTCTGCGCTCCCGGCTTGGAACCTTGTCACCCTCCCCTCCCCCACCCCTACTTCCACACACCTGATTAGTTGACTGTTTCTTTAACGATCAAAGACGTGGGCGGCGGCAGGGTGAGGTCTTGGTTCCCTGCTACCCAGCCCTCCCGTAACTGTGTCTTTATTAACGTTATAAACATTAGACCCGCTTCTGCGCACCGGGCGGCGCCGGACGAGGTGCGCGCAGTCTTCTAGCTGAGCTCGGAGGCAGATCCAGAAGTCGCGGCTCCCACCCCAGGCCTCGGCGGACTCTGCCTGGGGCGACACGGGCTCCAGCCCTGCCCGGGCGGGCACTGGGCTCTCCAGGCTCGAAGGCAGGGGTAAGGGGCGTCTTTCCCCCAGGGCAGCCTAGGGGACAAAAGCATTTGCTGTAGAGTGAGCTAGAGCCTCCGGGGACCGCGGGAGTCAGCTCCAGCGCAGGGGTGGTCACTGCGTCTTTAACTACCCAAGGTCTCCCTGCCGAACTCCTTGGCTTCTGCAGCCCTGTCAAGACAGCAAGGAAAGGGGGTCTTCCCTGGTCCTCGGGCCCCGAGGTTTCCGGGTTGCTTATAGGACGGGTTCCTGCAGTCCGGGGAAGCTCCGGGCAAATAGCAATCCCATTCTCCCTTCCACTACCCAGATTCTGCCTCCCTGCGGAAGGCAAAAAAGAAAGAAAGAAAACAGGTAAAAACCAGGGGAGGGCCCAAAGGCCTTGAGTCTCCCCGCCTGACGCCCCTCACTCAGTCGCGAAAAGTCCCCTGGACACGCCATCCGGGACCGGACTCAGCTCCAGCTGCTGGGCCCCTGCCTCCTAAGATCCTTCCCTGGCATAGGCTCCCAAGACCGCCCCCTCAGGGATCCCAAGACCGGACAACTGCCCAGGACGCAGCTCCCCGCCCCCACCCCCACCTTGTTCGGCAGACAAAGAAGGGTGTGCTGGTCCCGCTGTCTGCGTCCCTCCCCCGACCCCGCAAGGCCTAGAAACCTCAGGGACTCACTCCCAGGCTAGGGACCCAATCCTGGCTGCCCCACCACAGGGTCCCCGGCAGGGACGGGTCACAGTGCTCTCACCCCTCGACCTTTCTCGAAGACACCTTCCCTGAAAGGCGCCTTGCGCCCTCCCCATGGGTGGGCTGGGGGGATCCCAGGCCAGAGCAGGCTGTGTGAATTTCTGTGTTCTGAACTGGGGCTAAGCGAGATGCGATGGTCCCAGCCCGCCGGGCCGCCTGTAGCGACGGCAGCAGTAGGAGAGAGGGAGGGACGCTTGGAGCGTGAGCGCACCAGTCTGTTCATATTTAATTTACAAAGCAGCCTCGGAACCCCGGGCCGGGTGGTCTCTTTAGATGCTGCGCTCTTACCCTGTCTCTCTTCCCTACTCGCTACCCTAGCTCATTAAGATGCTCAACACTCAAATCGGGGTATTGATCTCCACGGAAGCCCCAAACCCGCGCCATCGACCCACCACGAGAGACCCCCCATGGCCCGGGGTGATGGCTGTGGGACTTGGTGCGCCCGGAGAACTCAGTGGCTACAGAACGGGTGGGGATTCTGCGTGTCTCCTGGAGCCTGAACCCCTTTCCTGGTTCTGGCCGGTAGCTGTCTCCAGGACTAACGTGGGCAGCGCACGGGGGGCGGAAACCGGGTTTTAGCCAAATGCCTCGACATCGCCGCGCCTCCGCCTCCTCGTCGCTGAAAGAAATGTCGGGGTTTCATCAGAGCTAAGGAGCGAGAGTCGGGAACAGCGAGTCTGCTGAAGCCGGCTGTTGTGTGAGGGTGTGAGACGGCGGGGCGGTGGGGGGCCACCGCAGCTTGGGGGATAGCGCGTGTGGGGTTGACCGAGTGTCTGCTTGAGAGGCTGGGAAGATATGGGGGGCAGGGATGGGAGAAATGCTTAGGCCTGAAGTCCCCAGCCCACCGTGCTCAAGGGTAGCGGACGTTTTGACACCATCCTTGTCTGTGCTACTGTCTGCTGCAGCTTCCGTGCCTCGTTCTCCTGGAGCAGGCAAGACCTGGAGTGAGGTGCTTGGGTGAGCTCGGGAGAGCTTCCCCCTGCTCCACCTGTCCCGCGGTGCGCTTAGGCCAACGAGCCGGGCAGTGGGCTTCAAGCGCTGGTTTAGCCACAAAAGACCAGATGTAAAGAGTTCCGGTTTAAGAGGTTGGGCAGGGCTACGGTGGGCTGGGGAGGGGGGCGTCCCTTCCCAGCACGCCCTGCAGGGCTGTGCGTTCTGGTCTCGGGTTAGACAAGCAGGCGGGGCGGAGGGGGGTTGGGGCGGCGGCGGCGGCGGCGGGGGGAGACTAGGGCTTATATCAGCCCAGATCCAGGCAAAAATGGTAGGGAGGGCGCGGCGCTCTGCTAACACTATCAATTATGCATCGTGTTGAACGTGGCTTCGGGGAGGAGGCGGCTAGCAGCGGGGGGTGCGGGAGGGAAGGGTCCGCGCGAGCTCTGCTGCGCGCAGCTCCGCGGGTCCGGCTCGAGGTCTGTCGGTGCCATCGCCTGCATTTGCAAAAAGAGTTTAAAGGCAAAGACACTCCTTCCCCCACCCGACTTCAGCCGCGCGGCTTTCCTTCCCCCAAATTCCTCAAAGATGGTTTGTCTCACGTGTTGCAGGGCGTAAAAGCGGCTTGCATTCAATTAGCAGTGAAGCTTGCGGGCGCTGGCGGGACAGGCGCGTGAGGGTGAGTTCGCGTGAATGTGTGTATGCGTGTGCGAGAGGAGAACGGTAAGTGTCCCGTGTGCAGGTGTGCCCGTGAAAATGCGTGTGAATGTAGCAGGGACTGAACACATTGATGCGATTATTACCTGACCATGGATGATTGTAACGTGTGAAGGTCGACTATGGGGAGGGTGTGAGGGACTGTGTGTGCGCGAATGTGTTTGAACGTTGAGGGGGGAGGTGGTGTGATGAGGGACAGTAACAACGTCAGCGGCTGTGTAAATGTGGGGGTACCTGGGTTATGGGGGGTGTAGTAGGCTGCAAAGAGCCCAGCCGGGACGGTGGGCGTGGGATGCCCCTTATGACCGACTTGGCCTTGGGGAGGGTCTCCGTGGCTTTAACAAAAGTAGACCAAGCAGGAGGCAGGAGAGGCTATGCGCGTCCCCGCCAGGCCCTGGAGCGCGCAAGGACTTTCTCCAACCTGCAGCCAGAGAGGTGGGGGGAACGGACGCAAAAGGAAAAACTGAAGTGGTACTTTGGGGCCACCGAGTCCCCAAACTTACCTGTCTCTGTCTTTGCCCCCGGCCCCCAGCCACAACACATGCGAGTATCTTCCTTGGGCTATGTTTCCTGCTCTGCCACACCGGGTCTGGAGAAGGGGTTTCAGCCCTAGAACATTTACTGAGAGTCGGCGAATATTGGGTAAGTAATGGGGGCCACCCCACAACCTTGACCCAGGTGAGGGTAGGTCCAGCCTAGAGCACCCCATGGAGTGCAGGGCTGGGGGGGAGGTGCTGTCTGGGAGGAACTGAGAAGGGAGGGAAGGGACCTTCCCAGAAGAGCTCAGGCAGAGTGAAGGAGCAGGTTCCCAAAGACAGGGTGTGGGAGGGGCTCTGCCAAACCTGACAGGCGCTCCAGAGGGGGCAGGGAGTCTGTGCAAGTTCGTTTGTGTGACCCGGCTTAAGGTTTTATGGGGAGGGGGACCTTAGGCACCGCAGAGCTGTGGAGAAAGGCGCAGAATCTTTCACCTTCTCCAGCTTCATTAGCTAGTGGCAGCCCCATGACCTGTTGGCTGGGGACGCCTCTGCCCAATGGGAGCCGCCTGGGGGACCTGAGAGGAAGCTCTAGTGACCACTCTCCCAACACACCTGGTCCAAACATGGGGGAAGGACCTCCTTCCCCATAAGGAAGGTTGGCAGAGCAACCTTCTTCTCCCCTCACAGGAGCTGCAGCCCCGGGCAGGTGACTTCGGCCTTAGATGCAGAAGGGCATGGGGATGGGCTTCCCCAGATCCCACATCTCAAGTTGTGCAGTGCAGGTCCTCCTATTGCTTCTCTGCTGGGTTTTTATCACAGTGGAGGGCTGTGTGCACACACGGGCGCATGCCTGTGTTCTTGTGGATGGGTCGGTTCGTGTGAGGACTTGTGTCCTTGTGTCTGTTAATTCTCACAATGGACAGGAAAGCGCTTTGTACCGTGGTGGAAAACGCTGTACAAATGCCGGTTCAGTTAAGAGAACAATGAGGTCTCCAGGGTCTATTGTATCCGCGTCTGGGTGCATCTGTGTTTGTGAGTTTAGGAAATGTGTTGTGAGCCTCCTAATTGAGCATCAGGTCCTCTAAACGCCTGCAGAAGTTGGCGGTTTGATGATGAACCCCCGCGTCTGTTTGTATTGTTGTGCGCCTGAATGGGCGTGTGTGCGAGTGCTGTATGTGGGACAAAGGTTCCAGGGAGGACAGCCAGTCTCGGACAAAAATGTCCTTCCTGGGTAGGATGCATTTCACCGGGTTAAACTAAGGCTTAGAAACACAGAGAGGGGTCCGTGAGGAGCCCGCTGGAGATAGGCGAACTGCGGAGCCTACGGAGGGGCCAGCTCCAGCGTGAAGGAAGGAGTAGGAAGGGAAAAAAGAGCGATGTACCGGGCCGCTGGAAAAGGAAATTAGGGCCCTGGGAGGGAGTATCCGTAGAACCTCGAAATTTTTATTGACCTTCACTTCTGGCCAAGAGAGGCTCCTGGCCATAGAGGAGGTTACCTGAGTCCTGGAACTTGTGCTAGACGGGTTTGCGGAGGCAGAGCTTGATAGGGGAGGTAAGCTAGGGTTCAGTGAGTCACCTTCTTTCCTCTTTCCCTGGCTTCCATCTGCAGGAGCCGTGATGTTCCCCCTTCGGGCCCTGTGGTTGGTCTGGGCGCTTCTAGGAGGGGCTCGAGCATGCCCTGAGCCGTGCGCCTGCGTGGACAAGTACGCTCACCAGTTCGCCGACTGCGCTTACAAAGAGTTGCGCGAGGTGCCAGAAGGACTGCCTGCCAATGTGACCACGCTTAGTCTGTCCGCGAACAAGATCACCGTGCTGCGGCGAGGGGCCTTCGCCGACGTCACACAGGTCACGTCGCTGTGGCTGGCGCACAATGAGGTGCGCACCGTGGAGCCAGGCGCACTGGCAGTGCTGAGTCAGCTCAAGAACCTCGACCTCAGCCACAACTTCATATCCAGCTTTCCGTGGAGCGACCTGCGCAACCTGAGCGCGCTGCAGCTGCTCAAAATGAACCACAACCGCCTGGGCTCTCTGCCCCGGGACGCACTGGGTGCGCTACCCGACCTGCGTTCCCTGCGCATCAACAACAACCGGCTGCGTACACTGGCCCCCGGCACCTTCGACGCGCTCAGCGCGCTGTCACACCTGCAACTCTATCACAATCCCTTCCACTGCGGCTGTGGCCTTGTGTGGCTGCAGGTCTGGGCCGCGAGCACCCGGGTGTCCTTACCCGAGCCCGACTCCATTGCTTGTGCGTCGCCTCCCGCGCTGCAGGGGGTGCCGGTGTACCGCCTGCCCGCCCTGCCCTGTGCACCGCCCAGCGTGCATCTGAGTGCCGAGCCACCGCTTGAGGCACCGAGCACCCCACTGCGCGCGGGACTGGCGTTCATGTTACACTGCATCGCCGACGGCCACCCCACACCCCGCCTGCAATGGCAACTTCAGATCCCCGGTGGCACCGTAGTCTTAGAGCCACCAGTTCTGAGCGGGGAGGACGATGGGGTTGAGACGGAGGAAGGAGAGGGAGAAGAAGGAGATGGGGACTTGCTGACGCAGACCCAAGCCCCAACGCCGATTCCCG